AAGCTGGAAGGAAAGGGTTGCCGCTGGGTCCTGGACTGGGGCCGGCGTGGGGGAATGGAGGCAGTGCGCTCTCCCCAGCTCCCTGGTGATGGGTGTCCAGGCCTCCCCAGTCTCACCGGGAAGCCGGGTCCTGTCCTGCCGGGCCAGCACTCAGGAGCAGGAACTCAGCTCCCAAGACACAGAGGCAATCCATGAGGACGCAAAGCAGAGGATGTGGCAGGCGTGGAGGGAGGGAAAAGGTCAGCGAGAACTGACCTGAGGGGAGCCTGACAGGCTGCTGAGGGACCACTCGGAGGGCGTGGGGGGCTGGTGGGAACTTTGATTCCTCCCCACCCGCACCGGAGCCCCACGGAACAACCAAGATCCCCAAGAAGCGGGGAGCTTGCTGTGAAAATTAACAGAAACCTCAATGAAAAGAGAGTCAGGAGGCCATCAGGGGATTGCAAAGCCCAGGGGAAGAAGAGAGCCTGAGCGGACCCCGGGCTCTAGGCGCGCGGGCTTCAGAAGTTGCAGCACGCGGGCTCAGTAGTTGTGGCTCGTGGGCTCTAGAGCGCAGGCTCACTAGCTGTGGCGCACGGGCTTCGTTGCTCCACGGCATGTGGGATCTTCCCGGACCAGGGCTCCAACCTGTGTCCCCTGCATTGGCGGGCGGATTCTTAACCACTGCGCCACCAGGGAGCTTCCCTTCTGGCAGGAGCTCAGCCAGCAAGAGGCCTCCAGCCTTCCCGACCTCCCTGCCCCTGTAACAGAGCTCTCTCCCTGGTGTGGGGTCCTGCACGGGGCTCGCCAAGGCGGCAGACCCTCGGGCCCCGGAGATGCAGCGGGGAGGGGAGGCCATGGTGGGACCTCAGGCCGCTTGCTTGCATGCTTCCTTCCACTTCCCTGTCTGAGGACAGCGCACCTGTTGGCTGTCACCTCCTCTGGGAAGCCTCCCCTGATCCCTCTTCTCTGCCCCTTTTAATTTATTTGTTTGTTTATTTATTTATTTATTTTTGGCTTCGTTGCTGCGCCTGGGCTTTCTCCAGCTGCGGCGAGCAGGGGCTACTGTTTGTTGGGGTGTGCGAGCTTCTCATTGTCCTGGCTTCTCTTGTTGCAGAGCATGGGCTCTAGGTGCAAGGACGTCAGTAGTTGTGGCACGCAGGCTCAGTAGTTGTGGCACACGGGCTTAGTCGCTCCACAACATGTGGGATCTTCCCAGACTAGGGCTCGAACCTGTGTCCCCTGCATTGGCAGGCAGATTCTTAACCACTGCGCCACCAGGGAAGTCCCTTCTCTGCCCCTTTAATGCAGTATTTCACTTGTCTCTCTCTCTGGACTAGAAGCTCTTCAAGGCCAGAGTCCACAGGCTTTTACTCTGTCACTGTGCCCGGGGCCTGACATTTAGTGGTCAGTCAGGAAAAGTTTGGACACGAGCCTAAGCGGCAGGCCTAGACTGGGGTGGATGGGAAAGTAGGAGCTTACAGCAGCTGAAGCACTTTGATGGGAGAATGAGCAAGGTTGGGTAAAAGCATTTTAAATAAGCAATTCCAGGGGATTCTGATGCAAGTGGTTCATAGACCATTTTTTCATAGCACTGTTTTAGGATTTTGAGTTTATGTATGTAAGGTAACCACTGCCAGAAACTCATACAAGCTAAAGAATTTGGTGTCAGACGTGCTGGGCTGAGGTGACAGCTAAACCCAAGTGGAGAGTGTCGTCATCAGCTGGACACGGGACTCGGAGACTCAGATTGGACACCCCAGAGGGTGATGTCGACGTGGGTGGTGCCTCAGAGTTCATTCAGGTAAGGCTCTGACCGTGATTGAAAGTCATCAAAGAAAGAAGATACGGACAGAGTGAAAGACCTCGGAATTTTCCCACATTTAGGGATGGCGGAGATGGAGACCACGACTAGTCAGAGAGGTATGTGGAAAAACAGGTTAGTTTATGATTGATTGGTGAGAAGAAAGCTGAGGGCTGGAAGGAGGAAGGGGAGGGAGTGCCTGTCCTGAGCCAAGTTCTCATCGGCTGCCTATCCTGACCCCCTGGCTGCCCCGCCGGGATGCCTGGGGTGACCCCCCCCCCCCCCCCCACCAAAGCACGAAGAGTCACTCCGCTCTCCTGCTCAGAACTGCTCCGTGATTCTCTGTTGCCACCAGGGTATTCTAAACCCTTTCAGTTGCTCCTGCAGCTTTTAAACAAATAGCTGCCTTACTGAGATATAATTCACATCCCCTAAAATTCGCTCTTCTTGAAGAATACAATTCAGTAGTTTTTGGTATATTCACAACGTGCAGCCATTGCCACCATCAATTTTAGAACATGTTCATCACCCCCATATGAGTCCCTTGGGACTTGCTTATTGTGGACACTTCATACGAGTGGAATCATATATGATGTGACCTTCTGTGACTGATTTCTTTCACGTAGCCCAGTGTTTTGAAGGTTTGCGCATGTTGTGGCGTGTATCAGTATTCCACTCCTTTTTGTAGCTGAGTAGTGTTTCATTTTCATCGTCTGATATACCGCATTTTGTTTATTCATCCATCAGTTGCTGGACATGTGGATTGTTTCCACATGTTGGTTATTATAATGCTGCTATGACCATTCATGTGTAAGTCTTTGTGTGGGTATATATTTTCATTTTTCCATTCATTTTCATTCCTACAGACCTAGGAGTGGAATTGCTGGATCATATGGTAACTCTAGCTAACATTTTGAGGATTGTTCAGTGGTTTTCCAAAGTGGCTGCCCCATTTTACAACCCCACCATCGTGTATGAGGCTCCAATTTCTCCACACCTCACCAACACTTATTTTCTGTTATTTATTTGTTTTATTTATTTATTTTGGCTGCATTGGGTCTTCGTTGCTGTGCGCGGGCTTTCTCTAGTTGCAGCGAGCAGGGGCTACTCTTCATTGCAGTGCACGAGTTTCTCATTGCGGTGGCTTCTCTTGTTGCAGAGCATGGGCTCTAGGCGCACGGGCTTCAATAGTTGTGGCACGTGGGCTCAGTAGTTATGGCTCGCAGGCTCAGTAGTTGTGGTGCACAGGCTTAGTTGCTCCACAGCATGTGGGATCTTCCTGGACCAGGGCTTGAACCCGTGCCCCCTGCATTGGCAGGTGGATTCTTAATCACTGTGCCACCCGGGAAGCCCTTATTTTCTGTTTTTTAAATAGCTGTCCTAGTGGGTGTGAAGTGGTATTTCACTGTGGTTTTGATTTGCATTTCCCTAATGACTAATGATGAGTGTCTTTTCACCTGCTTATTGGCCATCTTTGTATCTTCTTCGGAGAAATGTCTATTCAGATCCTTTGCCCATTTTTAATTGGGTTATTTGCCTTTTTTATTATTGTGTGTAAGCTTTCTTTATATATTCTGGACACCAGTCTCTCATCAGACATATGATTTGCAAATATTTTTTTCCATTCTGTGGGTTGTCTTTTCACTTTATTGATAGTGTCCTATGAACCACAAAAGTGCTAAATTTTGATGAAGTCCAATTTATCTATTCTTTGATGACTTGTGCTTTTGGTGTTATACCTAATAATCTATTGCCTAATCCAAGGTCACAACGATTTACACCTGTGTTTTCTTCTAAGCGTTTTATAGCTTTTAGCTCTTACAACTAGGTCTGTGATCCATTCTGAGTTCACTTTTAATACAATGTGAGGTAGGAGTCACACTTCATTCTTTTGCACATGGGTATTCAGCTGTTCCACCACCACTTGTTGAAAAGACTATTCTTTCCCCCACTGAACTGTCCATGGCCCTTCGTAAGCAGGTCTTTTCTTAGTCCTGTGGCCTCATCTTCTGTCCCACCACTACTCCAGCTTGCCCTCCATCGCCAGCCCCACTAAATGATTTTTTTTCCCAAATGAGCCAGGTTTCTTCTCACCTCTGGCCCACTTCTCTACATGCTGTTTCTTTTACTGGAAAATCTCCCTGACCTTCTTTCCTCGTCACCTGGCTGTCTTCTCCAATTATCTGGCAGGTCTAGGCTTACACGTCTTCCAAAACGCTTTTCCTAAGCTCCCAATAAAGTTTCAACACAGGTCTGTACTCCCCCAAGGACCCTGCACTTCTTAACCCCAAGAGGAGCTTTTTCTGTCCCTGGCACACAGTGGGGATTCAGTCATTCTGATGAATGGCTGAAGCCCAGAAGTCAAGGGAGAAGAGACTGATTTGCTGCAGAGAGTGAAGGAGAATGAGATCTGAAAAAAAAAAAAAAATGCCACGAGGTTTTGACTATTTTTCTCATTACAGATAGGAGTTTCAGCAGCACTGGGTTGCAGAAGCCAGCGTGGGGTGAGAAGTGAATGCGGAGGAGAAAGTGAAGCTTCGGGTACAAGCTATTGGTGCCCGAGTTCGTTTGTGAGGGAAGAAGGGAACTAGATTGGCGCCACGGAACAGCTTAAAAGGACAGAGTCAGGGGCTTAGTTCTATTGGTACGCGTCCATCTGCTGCATTCCAGAGCCTCAGAGAGTTCGACTTCTGATGAGAGGCCCTTCCTTGGCTTCTTATGATGTAACTTCCAGGGCCTGGCCATGATTTCCCCTCCTGCTACCCCTCACCCCTGGCCTCTAACTATGTGCGAACACACACACCAACACCCTGTATTTGTGCTGATCTCAGCATCCCAGGGATAGATTCTGGGAATGACCAAGGCCTTGTCCCAAACTGGGCTAAGCTATATCCAGCCCAGGAAAAGACAGCCTATAAGAGTCGCTTGTTTGGGTAGGAAAAGGAAGGAACAGGTCTAACATCTCGGCGGCACCAGAAGAATGAGCACGTCTTCCCTGTCTGCCCCTCATTCCCTGGCATCCCCACCCCGCCCCCGGGTCACTCAGATAGGCTAGAATGACATATAGCTGCGAGATTTTAAGTTTTCTTCGCCTTATTGAGTTATCTTCCTCCTGAGCTGCCCCCGTGTCCCTGGCGTGTTCCTCCCAGAGGTAGATGTGCCTGATGCCAAGCCCACCCCCCTGGTTAGCGTTCGCCACCAGCCTCACGCGGCTCACCTCGTGCCCCACGCTCTGTGGAGCTACGTCCTGATCCAGCTGCCCTTCCAGGAGCTGGCCCAGCAAGGCGAGGCTGGTGCCGCGCTGCGGTGTCCCCTCGGGCTCGTAGCCCAGCTCCACCTGCCCCTTCTCCAGGGCGTGCTTGCCATCCACGATGGTGCCCGGCAGTACCTGCGCCCTCCTCAGGTCCGCTGGGTGGTTCAGGATGACAGGCAGGTGGTTCCCTGTGCTAACACTGTGGGTCCAAAAGAAGGACTCGTCCAGACTGTAGGCCTGCCAGGGGAAATGGACCTCAAAAACCTTCATGTCTGCGAACACGGCTCCTGGTGGGTTGTCAGGGGCTTAGGGGCTCTTTTTCTGCGGGCCCGAGGCCTTCTGGCTGTGTCGTTCGGCGCATGGTAGGGGGCCCGGTGGTAGAACAGGAATGGTCTGCAAAGGATCGGGTCCTTCTGGGCCAGGAGGGTGCGGAAGTGAGGGAGGAGCCTGGCGAGGGGCTTCTCCCCGTAGAAGAGGGGGAGGAAGTGGGCCAGCACCGGGGGTCCCCGCTGCGGAAGAGCCTGCCCTGGAAGCCCAGGTTGGAGAACTCCAGGAACGCCCAGGGCTGGGACCCCAGGGTATCCGCTTTCCACTGAACGTGGTGACGAAGTTGGGGGCGCACAAGGCGTCGTCCTCCAGCAGCAGGAAGTCCTCCGAGAGCTTCGCAGCGCAGCTCATGAGGAAGGCGTGGTCCGTGGTCCGCTGGGAGTAGGGCTCCTGGCGAGAGGCCCCGCCCCGACGCCGCCCTCGGGGGGATGGGCCTCCGGCGGGG